CAACGGGGATGAGGACCTCGACCCCGAGGATACCTCTGTCATCTTCGAAGAACTCAAGATGTGGAAGAGATCCTGAGAGGCAGCACCGAATCGTGTCTGTTCGGGGATGCACTCTACTTATATGCTCAGGATCTGGTGGGGCTGGCGTTGCTTGGATGGCTGGTCTGGCCAGGCCAGGGAGGGTCGAGTCTTGGTATCACCAAGATGCCAGGAACTGCGGGTACGCATGAAGCTCACTAAATGAGAAAATCAAAGGGGATTAGCGCCGTCAGATCAGGAGACGCGTCGGAAATTGGAAAACCTACATAGATGCCACATGGACTCGGAACCAACCTAGGCTGCCGCATGTTAGATGCTGATTAACAACGGAACCTGTAAGGGGAAGGAAATCATGATGAGCGAACGGAAGCGAAGTGAGCCCAGCTTGATCTATTGAATGCCTGGACCGACCGAGTAAACGACCGCAGTAGCTTTGGTGTGAGACCAAAAAGTCCGTGACATATCAAGGATCTGGAGGAGAAAGTTGCAACGAGAAGAAGCGTGACAGCATAACCGTATCTTCCTCGCCGTCCTCGCCGTATGGAGACGGGCGAAGGAAACCAGGTGGCTTCCAAGAGTGTGCCAGCTACGGCAAATTCATCAAAGAGTCCCGTATGAGTAGAAGGGCCGCGCCTTCCACGTTGGGTGTCTATCAAGCCTTTCCCACAAGTCGGAAACCCGATCGCAGGTTGTTCACAGCGCGGCTTTCATTGGGTTCCCTCACTCATCCAACTACTCAAAGACGATGCTACGTCAGGCTACGACGCAGACTGGTAGGAATGTTCGCCGTCTACGTCGTCGAACCCACAATCGATTTCATGATGGTTGCTTCGCTAGCGGTCTCGTCTTCGCGTCCAACAACGCGGCGTGCACTGTGTACACCATCGCGAACTGTGGCGTGGTAGACATTATGCTTCGCAGTGACCATAATCTCGTTGAAACCCACATTCCATGCATCATGTGCTAATGGTTTGCGAGGAGGCCGAGGGTAATCATTATAACGTACGCGGCGTGAAAGTGAATGAAGTTTTGCTTGGTGCGCTGTTGAAATTCTTTGAGATTGGTAGGAAGGTTCAGACAGGCCGGGTCAATGAAATCAAACAGAGGACTACTTGCTGAATTCCCAAGTGTGCGATCGATGCAAGGCCAGTTGGTGTTTTCAACGCAGAGAGGGCGACCTGAAGGGCTTCAACAGACATGATTTCAGACTGGCAGACTTGGAGAAAAAGACAAAAGTTGGAGAACCCGAGTTTCCAATTCTATGAGGAGATCCTACAATCTTAACTGTTGTCCAGCTGCGGCCTGAAGCGTCTCGATCCTTTTCAGCCCTACAGCAACTATCGTCTCTGTCACTTGAGCTTGCATTGGCTAGCTGTGGGAAGCTGCAATGGTCAATAGTGTGTGTTCGTGCAAGTGGTCTCACAAACTCGCCTAGCTCGACAACACGGACGGCGAGTGTGATGACCCGAGGAGCCTACGAAGACTGTCGTTTCATGACGCAGAAAAAAAGCGAAGTCGAACCCAGTCTCGATGTACGCGGTAGCAACTGGCCATGGATGCACTGCGTGAGTGTTCAATTCATATGGGCAAGCGGAGCTACAAATGAATCTCGCAAGCTTTTGGCGATGCGGCCAAGTCTGCTTCTTGCAACCAGACCAAAGGGAACGCGGAGACAAAATCAAAGCTAGAGAAGCTATAAAAGAGATTGGCTTACTTGTGAAGCGACTCTGGCGGCGTCTAGCACTACAGCAGATATCCCGGAGCCCGGGCTAACTCGGACACGCCGCCATACCAGTTCAGCTTACAGTACATACCAAAGGTTTGGAAAACTCTAATCTCAAAGAGAGATCTTCCGGGCACGAGGAGGTCCGATAATACTTCTCTCACCTTGACGCCACCCTCGGGCTGCGGGTAACGCCAGCTTCACGCCCGAGTGGACGACGTGAAGTACGACGCGAGCAGCGCGATGGATCTTCCATACGGAAAGAGGTCTTCGCATCTCGTCAATATTCGCCAAAGCACCGCGTGGTGGACTAATGCAAACATTTCCGGCAAGAGAGTCGAGCCTCTTGTTTTTTCCGTGGGGTTTAGGTATGGTGAAAGGAGTGTGAACGCGTGTTAGACGACTGGTCTAGCTTCCGCGACTCTAGAGCGTAGTACGCATCAATCCCATGGTGTTGTGGTCCGTCTTCTCGGGTTCATGAACTAGTGACTAGGTAGCCTTAAATATTCCTATGGAAGGCTTGGAGTGCGTTTCCCTGTTTCAATTAGGTTAAACCGCAGATTCCACACCTGTGGTTCCTTCTCCTCAATTCCTTTCTGTATTGACTACATGCCATCCTCGATATTGCAGCCTACATGGCGCGAACGGCGTCCCTATCGCACTGCAGCGTGACAAGCTGCTTCAGGCTACCAACTTGGACATCCACCTGACTCCACGTAACTCGCTCAAGCATCAGGTTTGGGCCATTGAATGCGCTTTCCGTTGCATTGCATCAGCCATTTGTTGGTGCAGCATGACTGTTCTCGAGATACACGACAATCAGTACGCTTTGTCGTCCTGCGGCGTCTCTGCGTACTGTAGCACTCTGCGTAGCAGTATAGTACAGTAGCACAAATCCGGCAGTCAGTCCCTCACGAGACACGTACCCGATCGTCTATCCGAGCCTTATAGCATCCCGTTTGAGCCAGCGTCTCGCCCCGTGCTGCCGTGCATTATTAGGGTCTGTTGTGATCTTTGTGCGCAGCCATTCCTGATCTGCCCGGACGCAATGTCAAGATCGAGCGAGTAGACTTCTGTCGCGGTCTCGGCCCCCGAGTAAACCTGCCTCGCGCGCCAGACATGACTCGACACCAGTTCGAAAAATCGACCTTGTCTGATGCCTTTTGTCACACCTTGCATCTCTTCGCTTGGCCCCCTTTCCCGCTGTTTAAGGTTTGAGCCAGACCCATCTCTGACCAATCAGGTGGCGACGGCCCGTTTTCCGTCACCACTTCGGGCAGGAGCTTGAGCCAGCCTTAATCGGCTTCGTTGCCCACAATGCGCAACCCTTCCGCCGGAAGTTGATTCCTGATCGAATCAAACCTGTCCGTCTCATGGCCACTTGTATATCATCGACGTCGGAATCGGCATCTTGGTTGTCAATGGTATCGGCGCCATCGACTCGGTCGAAGAAAGTATCTTCCAAGCCTCCCTGCATACCTGCGGTGCCTGCGGTGGCGGGTTTAGCTCCAAGATGGTCCGTTTCGCATTGTTTGTCCCCTCAGGGCCAGTAGTGGGTCCGCGGCGTTGTCTTTCCCTACGACTGCGGCACCCGACAGCAACTTCTGGCTCTCGCTTTCGCTTGCCTTGACGGCGACTCCGTCCACAATCGGCGTGGCCTTTTTCTTCTGAGGACGGGCGGCGGAGCCCGAGACGGCTATGCTAGTACTGTTACCAACTAACCGACCCCTTGCACACGAGCCGGGACAGATCAGCTGTGATTTTGCCAGACCTAACGGGTACTGTAGCCTCTCCGTCGAATAAAAGCCAATGGCTGCGGGCCGGATATGATATCCAGCTGTATCCAATATCTGATCAAAACGGTTAACCCTCTAATAAGAGTCAGTGCCATTATTGTTGCTCTGCCGATTCTGGCTCTTACACGCTTCCGATATCCGTCAGTGCCGGCTCAGCATTGCAGAGGCTGCGAAAAGTGGGTTTGGTGTTGCAGCACGAATTCATCCTATGCTTAATTATCATTTTGATGAGATTCGAAAAGAATACCGCAACTTTGCGACGTCGCCCGTCGCAGCCCAGGTTGGCAATCACTGGTTCAGATTCAGCTCGGAGGATACACTGCAGAAACTCAAGTAACGGTTCCGAGAGATGCGTGTCCCGTGCGAGCAATCTCGCCTACGTAGCGCGTCTATATAGCGATAAGTACATAACTTGAGCATCCAGATCTTCAAGACCTTGACCCCAAATCAGACACCAGTACTCACCCCGTCACTGCAAGTCATACTTTGTCTTCAGCCCCAGTCTTCCACGTGTCTCTTTTCTTTGTGTAATACCTTGCACCTCCGCATGAGGTGACAGGGAATTACTCAGCATCACGAGTTATGGAATCGACACCCAACCACACAATAGATATTCTTGTGGTCGGTAGCGGCGCCGCTGCCTTGGCAGCCGCTGCGACAGCAAAGCAACTTGGTCTTCGCACATTGGTTATCGAGCAAAGCGATAAGATTGGAGGCACAACAGCGTATTCTGGAGGCACCATATGGATTCCCCAAAACTCGGTCTCCGAAGCAGCCGGCTGTAACGACTCCCGCGACGCTGCCCGACAATATCTGCAAGATTCGCTTGCGCTTAGCGGAGGCCCCGGGCCGGAATCCACCGCCGCGCGAATTGACGCCTTCCTGACTGGCGGACCCGCGATGGTCAATTTCTTCCGCGGTCTAGGCCTTCGGTGGAGACATTCTCCAATCCCCGACTATCACCCGGAGATTCCAGGTGCCATGGACGCAGGCGGGCGGACGCTAGACCCCTGTCCCTTCGACGCTGGGACGTTGGGACGCTGGGCTGATCGTCTGCGCCGGCCTGGACACTCGGCACCGGCGGCTTACTTTCACGACTTCGTCGTTTTGACCAGGCCTTACGCGTCCGCCATCGACCTTCTCACAGTATGTTGGATGAAGCTGCGGGCGTTATTCCGGAGCAAAACCATGACCAGGCCGACCTACATGGGCAGCTCACTCGTCGCACAGCTGTTAGACATCTGCCTTCGTAAGGGGGGCACGGCTGTCCAGGTTCAGGTGAACACCAAGTTCAAAGATCTGCTCGTCGAAGAGGGAGTCGTCTGTGGCGCTGTTGTGGAGTCGAAAGATTCCGGGGTGT